TATATGGCTGAGAGGAGCCTCACTGTGACTGTGAGAAGTGATCGTCCTATATAATCAACCCTTACGTATTTATAAGTGCCCTGAGTATTTGAGAGGCCTACTGTGAGTGTGAATAAGGGTTAACTGGATTATGTCTCGAGAGGGAAGGGAGGTTTCCTTTTTACCCTTGCTTTTTAGAGTTTGTATGGTTGGACGTTGTAGTCCGTGGCAGACGTTAAAGTCAAACCCCTTGACTTTCGCCCAGGCCCGGAGTGGGACTCATCTCCAGGGCAGTAAGAGGCGACTGCCACCACAGGTATGGACCTGTGTACCACCCACTGTGCACAAAGTGCAGAAGAGGGTGTGTGATCGTCAACCCCGCATGGCGGTTGTCCAACGTCGAGAGATTAACCCTCAAGGCGAGTGTCAGCCGACACTTGAGTGTCGAATGCGACCCTCGAGATTAACGAGGACTGCACGATTATGGGCACGACATAGTACGCCATCATTGCGACTGCTTGCGTGCGTTTGCATTGCGAGTCGATATGAGGTAGCCCTGCGTCCGCGCGGTTTTATACTAAGTCTCGCGCGTGACGCCTATCCGATTTCTGTGTCGGGAAGTTATGGGAGGGCTACTGAAGGGGCTAGGAGCGTTGCCGCGTTGTTAATGTCGCGTTGTTCAGGTTGTGTCGTTTGTGCAATGTGTGCGTGTGCATATGTTTTGTTTTTGTGTTCGTAGAGTGGTGTGCGCGTGGTGTGTGGGATGCATCCTAGTCGACCAACGTCAGGCCGCGCTTGGGACTTCAGCCCCCCAAAATGTCGGTTCGCGTGCGGGTCCGATAGGCGTATTACCGCGCGTACCCCCTATGCTACAGGGAACGAGAAATGCCCTCGGCTGGTCCACCTCTGCGATTGCAACCGAGTAGCTTTCGTACTGTGGACTGGTAGCTCGGCGGGGATACGCCCACCGAAGGGAGGTGACAACTCCCGTAAGGTGGAGGTAAGTTGTGCCTCGCGTAGGCCCTATCCTGTCGTAGGGGCTCGCGAAAGGTATGGTTGGTGCACTCGGCCGGAGCGGCCTAAGGAAGCTCATTTTGTGTGTCCGTGACAAGGTTGGTCCAACTCCTGCGTGACGCGGCCGAGAGGGTCCCGCGCTGCCGTTTGCCGCGCCGGACCGATGCGCCCGACAGGTGGCGCCGTTGCCGGGGATAACGGCTGCCTACCGTTGTCCTGGTGGAACGACATCCGGGTACAGGAGTGTGAGAACTAGGCAAAACGAGAGGTCTTTGTTGAACCCTTATGGGTGATCGATTGAAGGCGTTGGATAGAAAGTGAGTGAGGGATTGATTGTGTGAGTGGGTTCTGGTTCGGAGCAATAAGGGTGGCGCGATAGGGATAAGCTTTGACTATGTGCCCACGTACGTTGACTATGCCCGTACGTACTTTGACTATGCGCTTGCGTACTTTGACTAGTAGGATGACAGTTGGGGTTGATACCTCTTCTGATCCCAATAGTTGATGGGTTTGGGCGATGATTGGTATGTTTGATACTACTAAGGTAGGGTGAGGTGGTATCGACAAAGTTAAGGGTGGTAGGTTGTGGCAGTTAGCCTCATGAGGTACCCGTTATGGCTAGGGGGAGTTATTCGAGGGGTAAAGAGTACAATAGGGTACTTTGGCTTTAGGGCGAGGCATAGGATGAGTAAAGGAAGCCTACTATGTTAGAAGTCGTCTAGGGACTTCGAGGAGAGTTAGGCTAAGGATATTGAGGGTCTGTATGAGTATGAATTGGGGTCCTGGAATTTGGATTCTAAGTTGTTGCTCGAGTTGTATAGCCATAGAAGTCTGAGGCTTGCTCCGCATGGTTTGTTTGAAATTAGGCGTATAAGGCAGTAAGGAGATGCAGTGGGAACCGTGGTAAGGCCCCAATAGAGAGGACTATGGGAAGTAGTAGACTTGCATAGCGCCTGTTAAAGGAGGGTATCTGACCCTAGAGGCAGTCGGAGTAACAGTGAGGGAGCTAACACTTGGACTATTCTACTTACCCTTAATGGACCAGTGACTTGTAATTGATGTTAGACCCTTGCATGAACCGTTCCAGGTTTGGACCATCCACTTAGAAAGCTAAAGACTTGGGACCGTTTGTTGTGAGGATGTTGCTTTGAGTTGTGTATTGGACTCATCTATGGACGTCAGGCTTTGTAAGCCTAGTTTATGTCCGATTATGGAAAAATTATGTGTTTAAGTAGATGTCCCTCTCAGGGACATTTCGTATGGGCTATTTTATTAGGGTTATATTGGGATCTTATCAGTCTGTAGGAATCATATAAATGTCTCCAGTCCATCATTTGGCCCATGGTTGGTCATTAAGTCTGTGCAGTTGGGTCGCTCTTCCCAGAGGAGCAGGGATTGTCAGTTTAATAACGGAAGGCGCGTGCTGGACGTTTGTCTGTGATGGGCAGAACCCAGACAAAGCAAAGGCAGCTCAGGATGCCTTATGCACGGGAAGACCCGCGTATGCTCGAACCAATCGAGAAAGAGGGAGGGCTCGAGGTGTCTTTACCCAGGCGGGTCAGAGCGGGGGAGTACCTCTCTTCATGGTGGGGCATGTTGATGGGCATGGACATCTTTGTCTGGATCGAGTCTGGGTTTGATGATAGACGGGAGTGTGCGATTGTAAGGGTGACGTTGTACGCCTCGCCCTCATTTTGGATCGAGTATGGGATAGAGTTGGCGCTCGGGCATGGGAGTCTGCTTGCTAAGCCTTTGAGGGTAGCCGAGGCAGCCACGACAAAGTGGGCGAGGGAAGTGTCTCGTGATGGGAAAGAGCGAGTACTAACCCGCGTAAGGGTTGAGCGCGCTGGAGAGTTCGGGCTTCCATCTGCTCCGATGCGATTAATCCTGCCTGAATTTCTGATAGAGAAGAGTTTTGGTGGGCAGGCGAGGGTGGAGGCGGCGGCTGAAGCTGCTCTGAGGGCGCGAGACTGGGAGTACGGACGTTATACATGTGAACGGATATATGGCATGTACTTGGACCCGAAATTCTCACCTTCTAGTCAGTGGCTCAAGAACACGGCCAATACACTTGACGTATACGCCTCGTCTCATGATCCGAATGAGGGAAATGTAGACTGGGAGGAGATTCGGGCAAAAGTGGGCCGATAGGGGATGCCGTCCTTTTCTACGAAATGCGTTTTTTTTTACTTAGCCGGAGTCGTCTCTCTGCCTATTATCGTAGTTATGAAGATAAGCGTCAGGGTAACTACGGGTTGAGGCCTGATCGCATGAATAAAGGAGTAGATAGCAGGATTTAAGTGTTAGCAGTCTGCCCTTGTCTGCCTGAGCTTACTTAAATCACTGTTTGATGGTCTATTGACCATTGTGCGTATCAGGCTGCTGTCAGCATCATGGCGGGAGAAAGCGGCTTCGCCAAGATCTTGTTTTGGAGGAATTCGTGCCTTTTGAAGGCGTTGCTGCACGAAGTGTTGCAGGCGTCAATGCCCCCAGATCTCCACGCCCTGCTGTTCCAAGGAAGGAACTTGTCTAGCTTTCTGCGTGACTTTCAGGATTTTAGCCTTACGAAGATATGGGACGAGAAGACGATGTGGTACATGCTTCCCGTGTTCGTTTGTGAAGGACTAAGTGAGGAGGTGTACACCCTCATGTTGAAGTCGCAAACCTGGGATAAGCTGGAAGCTTCTCTGAAGTTGAGGTTCCCAGAGGATGGGGTGAAATGCAGGCTTGGTAAGGGCCCTGAGCAGCTAGCCGAGACCGCGTCAACGGAAGGAGAGCTGAGTGGTATACAAAGGCAAGTTGGGATGCTGGAGGAGAGGTTGGCGCGGTTGGAAGAAGCCAGGCGTGGCGAGAGGAAGACCTTCGAAGGAGCATCTAATGGACCGGCTGGGCAGGATGAGGCGGAGGTAAGGGAAGATCATCGGGAGTTACTCCTCCACAAGGAGACCCCGAGAGGGCAAGTTTGCGCCCTAGAAAGAGATGAAAAGGAGGGGGTCATTGAGATCAAGGAGGAGCGAGAATCTAGTATGACCCTACCCGTTATTGCGCCGGAGCCGAAGGGAGAGCCCATTGGTAGAGAGGCACCATCGGCTGCGGGTCGGGAGAAGCAAAGGAGTAAGTGGTGGCCAGAGCATTGGGCAAAAGTGGTATGTGATCGTTAGGGAAAGATTGGTCGCACCCCTCAAGGAGGCAAGGAAAAGGGGGTGATGGATGAAAAGGGGGGCCTGAACCTTCCAAGTTGACGAAGGCTCAGCGGAAGGCGAGGAATCGGGCCCAGGAGAGCCAAGGTACCAGAAAGGGGCAGGGCATGCCGCAGGGAGGGGCCACCCCGCAAGAATTGGAAGGAAAGCCAGCACAGGCGGGGGCCCCACCGACTGAGCAAGCATTATACGGGTCGTGGACGCCATACGGTCAGGTGGGACCAGGCCCCATATATAATCCATATCTGCCCTGTGTACAAGGCGTTTGTTTGGGCCCACAAATGGGTATGATGCCACCCAGGCCTACTGCAGTCCAGTTTCAGCCAGCCTTGTGTATGGGGTCATTGCAGCCCACCGATACCACGAGCGACGGAAGGCCGCGTGGTCGGTGGAAGGGGTCAAAAACGAAAGGCTGAAAAGGGTTGTAGGGATGAGGGGTACGGAAAAGGGGGGCGCGGTGGCAGCAAGGGTAGCTCGGGCGGAAAGAAAATGGGTCTGGAAAAGGACATTTGCAGACATTGTGCCAACGAAGGACACATAATAAAGTTTTGTCGGGAACGGAGGGCCGATGAGGCAAGCAGTCTAATAAGGACTGACATTGAAGGAAATGTATTCGACAGGGCCGGGAAGTATATCGACCCAACCATCCCAGGGGGAACACGGAAGAAGGCTTTGTGGCGAGATGGGGCATCGAGCACTGCCTCATGAATATAGTCGTGAAGAGGAAGCGTTTGTGTGAGAAGGGTCCGGAAAATTAAGCAGACTGTAAATACAAGCGAGAAATCCCAATCGTATAGCTATTGTAGATAGGCACAATGTACAGAGGGGAGGGATTTTCGTAATAATGGTCTGGTAAGGTAGCTCAAGTTGTAGGCAGGAGGAACCCCAATAGAATAACTGTATGCAAGGGGTATGTTAGGTCTGCCTCACGTCATGTTATTGGAATGTCCCAAGTAGATGGAGCACGGAGTGACCCTGACGGTATCGTTACGGAATAAGGATTTGTTCTACTAGGCCTATTGACTAAGAGAGGAATATATGGGACCTACGTCGTGTCCAGGCCTGAATGGTTGTATAAGTGTGAGTGGTAGGAGTGGCTCGGGAAGAAACCTCAACATGTGGGAGATAGGCTCTCTAGCCTAGGAAGGCAGTTGTAAGGCTTGTGTACGAATGACTTCTAGTCTTACCTGTCCTAGGATATCTGGATATGTCTTGAACTACTTGGGTCCCTCTGACTCGAGGGGTATGGCTACATCCGGATCAAAACTGTTTTAGCTTTAGCTTTGGCTAGGGAGGCCGCTTTGTTCTTGTGTGATACCGGGATCGGTTTGAGTCCAAGACGGTTGGACTCTTTGTGTACATAGGTAATTCGAGACCATTTGGTTCATGCTCGAGCTGGGGTATTGTGCCCCTATGTATATATTGAGTCGAGATTTTATCTGAGATCAATTTTTGCATATGACGATCACAATCACTCTCACATGTGTGGTTTATCCTGATGTATGATGGCTTTGTGTGAGAGGTGTGTGAGATACATCTCATGTGTATGAGACTGTATGAAATTCGTGAGGATGAATCGATGTGAGCTGTCTACTCTTCGGTATACTCGTGCGGCCTGCCTACTGCTTACAGGCAGGACAGAGCCGAGTATAAGGAGAGGGAGTGCAATCTGTCATTGTGAAAGTGTGAAAATCCTGAGGGATTTTGCGAGTCTTTGAGGCTCGAGTACTTACCATGCCGGATGTTTTATGGTTAAGTTGCGAAAAGGGTCCATAAGTAGGCCCCTCATTTGAGTTGGTTCGTGGTTGAGTTGTGGAGAGGGCCCATAAGTAAACCTCTCGGGTTGAGTTGTTTTGTGATGGAGACCCCTTCAGATTGAGGGAGGTGGTAGTGTTGTTTATCGGAAGGCTCATCTCCAGAAGGGGGGCGTTTTAAAAGGGGGTCGTGTGATAGTTCATCCTAGAAAGAGAAGGATGGCTGGGAGACCTATTGAGACAGACCTCCTTCGTGCGAAAGGTGGTTAACATATCTAAGGGCATGGTAAGCAGTGTTTGAGTTGATAAAGTCTGACAAGAGGAACCAGAATTACAGACTGGATCATTGGTGGAACTGAGAAGGTCGCAAGTCAGTGCATTAAGATGCCGTGGGATGTGTGGGCTGCTGTCTCTGATCAAGTCAGTAGGCCACGGCCTTGTGTATGAGTCTGGCGGTGAATGTGTTTGTGATTGTGAAAAGGGACCAGGTTTCCTATGATGTCCCGTAGGGAACTGGTAAACGCCTTTAAAGTGAGACAGACCCCTGCGTAGTCCCGCAGTGGGCCTGCGGTCTGTTTTCCGACCCACCGTTCAGACACTCGTGCTAATCCCAAGGCATGTTGAGGAATATCAAGCTAAACGGTAGAGGTTAGCACCTCTAGGGCACAACCCCTATTGGATGACTGCAAGCCAGTACAACCTGGCTGCGGACCCACGTCTACCAACGGGGTAAGAGTTTGAGGGGTTATGCACGCCCCAAGGAAATTACTCCGGTGGGATGGCGGGGGATGTGAGTCAAGACTTCAGGTAGTCCTGATTGAATGCTTATCAGGAGAAAACCTATCGTTGCATAACCAACGAAGGAACTGCCGTTAAGATAACAATACGGTAGGCCATAGATCTGGCTCGATCAACCAGACTATGGTGGGCCGGGATGGAGACCTAACTTTTCTGTACAAGACTGCAGAAAGAGTTGAGAGGAGATTTATATATGTATAAATATATGTTTGATTGTGAGGATTTTCACGAGGGAGGCGAGATTTACCTTCTGAGGTCTCATTTAAGGCCCGCGTCCCTGGGTATGACTCTGCTTACGAGATAGAGTCTAGCCGGGACACTCAACGAGAAGCCGGCGTTTGTTTAGGACAAAAGGGGAGAGGATGGTTTGAGGTGGTCTTTGGAACTTATGCTGTAGTATTGATGCGTAATACGCCTGCGTCCTAGTGTCAGGGTGATGGAGACCCAGGTTAGAACCCTGGCGGCATATAGTTGTGTGGGCACGGTTTGATGGAGGCCTCGAACCTGAGTCTGTCGGCTAATCGGATTGGTTCCTTTCTCGTCAGCACTTGGAGTGCGGACGAATTTATAACTTTCCGATTTGGCGAAGCGACAGGGACGTCGCTTAATATGGTCCGGTAGGCTGTCGGTGCGAATACCCTTACAAGGGTATCCGCCCTGGTTTTTGCAAATGAAAGAAAAAAGTGTGGCTTAAAGTTTAAGTATACCGCGTTAGGCGCGGTTGCGTCTGTGACTTGCGCTGACTGGATGGTTGACTATAATAGAGAGTGTGTGGGCGCACACGTTTAGGACGCGCGTGATTTTTCTCTGTTGTTGGCCATAAAGTCGGCGCGGACATCGGTCGTTTTGTATAATAATATTATTTTTATTTATTTATTTTTGATTAAGCAGGATTTAAGGATATTTTCTTTTGATTGGTACGTTCAACCGAGGCGAGCGTGCGTGCGTGGACGACGGCATCGACAGCGACAGTGCAACCTTGCGCGGTAAATGGGGCGGCGTAGGATGGCGCGAGGGGGCAGCTACGACACGGTTTGGGTAGGCCGACGTGGATACTCAATGGTCGTGGGTTTGGTTGCAGGCCGAGATGATGCCCATGCCGTTTTTTTTGGCCTAGGCACTGCGCCTCATCACCTTATATTGGGTTTTGCGTGAGCTAACTCCAGGCTTGGGATTAGCCCTATAGGTTACAGCGTTGGACTGACGATACGGAGGTTCGGGGATTGAGGCCAGCGAGCATCGACGTCGCAACTGCAGCGGAGCGTCGTGAAAGGAACCGATGGGGTTGAGGGCCGCCAAGGCTATCCCCCTCGGTTTTGTTTACGGGCGCGGCGGCGGGCCCAATCCGCGGGGTTGGCAGGGTGCCAGCAGCCCCGCTGTTCCCCGACGTTTACTATTTTTTTTAATATTTTTTTGTTGGTTGTTGTTCTTGGTCCCTTTGTTATCGCGTCCCGGCTAGGGCGCGAGACTGCGATAGGAGCACGTGGGGGAGTGTTGTAATCGCGGGGCTGCCTGAAGTCCGACTGCTAGCTACCTTCGTGGCTGCACTGGAGTTAGCCCCTTACTAGTCTTATGCGGAGCCCTGGAGTAGCCACGTCCAGGCTCGAACCTCCAACGTGGGAACATGCGGGAGCGGCGCCCATCAGCGGGTGCCATACCGGCTACGACAGATAGGCGGTACCGGTTAGGAGGCCAGCCAGTAACATCGGAGACCGACAGGAGGGGCAACGGGCAGCCCTATGCTGCAGCGGATGAAGGAATCGGGCAGCAGCGGGCGCAGCAGGTGACGGAGGTAGGACCGCTAGCGGGGGAGGGAGAAGCTGAGCGGAATGCGTTGTGCAACAGCGGGCAGGCGGGGGGTAGAAAGGGGTGGACCCGGGCGCAAGCTCGCGCCGAGTACATCCAACAGAAGGGTGACCGGGAGTACGACCGGCGAGCAGACGGTTGTGGGGGCGCCGTCGGACTGATACAGGGGGAGACTGGCGATGGGTAGTGAGGAGTGGTGCCTGGGACAGGGGTTGCGCCGGGTGCAGGCGGAGCGCAACAAGCCAAGGAGGGGCAGCAAGGCTGACCGGGCGGCGCGGTGCAGCAACGAGGCGGAGGGTGTCGGGGGCGGAATGACTGGGGGTTGCCCGGCGGAGGGCAAAGCCGGGGAAGGCTGAATGAACCCGGACGCGATATTGCGCCGGAGGCGGCAACAGGAAGAGGTTTGGCATGGGGAGAGAGATTTGTGTCCCGCCCGTTTCTTGACCAAAACGAGCGGGGGCAAGTGCTGGACGGAGGTTTTAGGGCCGGGCGAGTAGAATTACTGAGTTAGTTGTAGTGAATGTCAGTAGGATAGTAGGCAGAAAGAGAAGCAGGCTGCGCGGGCTATGGCGGGAGAGGCAGTGGGAGAAGACAAGGAAGGCGTTGCGTACTCGGTAGCGGACGGATTTCGTCGGGGGAGGAGTCGAGCTCGGGGTTTTAACCGCGGGCGAACTGGAATCTAAAGACAGTCGTAGTGAAAAGTTAGTAGATCTGTTGTTAGTAGAGGAGGACTGTGCGCCGGGGCTATGGCAGAAGTGGAGAGGGACGGAGGGAGGAAGTCCTAATTTCGTTCGTTGATGAAAACGAACGAACAAAGATGTTATCCCGGGGTTCTGACCCCGGGCGAGTACGATGGTATGATCAGATTTAGTAAGGGGTTAGTAGGGTTAGAGCTAGAATAGAAAGGGGCTGCGCCGGGATGGAGGGGGATTTCAAAGGAGTGAATGAACCTGGACGGGTATTCGCGCCGGATACATGCGCAGTAACGAGGGGTAAAAGTAGTATATCCCGCCCGTTCCTCAATGGAATCAAGCGGGAAAAGACATAATACGGGGGTTTTGAGCGGAGGCGAATCCGTTGGGAGCGTTAGAATAGTGAAGGGGTTAGTAGATTATGAGTTAGTATAGAAGAAGCAGTGCGTGGTAGTATGGCAAAGATAGAAAGGGGGGAAACGAGTACCTCGCTCGTTTCCGGACGAAATCGAGCGAGGGAAGGATCGTTTTGGGGGTCCTAAAGCCAGGCGAGTTGATTAGTAAGGTTAGTTTTAGTGCTAGACTAGTAAAATA